GCACTTTGGGAGGCCGAGGCGGGTGGATCACGAGGTCAGGAGTTTGAGACCAGCCTGACCAACATGGTGAAACCCCGTCTCTACTAAAAACACAAAAATTAACTGGGCATGGTGGCGCACACCTGTAATCCCAGCTACTCAGGAGGCCGAGGCAGGAGAACTACTTGAACCCAGGAGGTGGAGGTTGCGGTGAGCCAAAATTTCGCCACTGCACTCCAGCCTGGGTGATGGAGCGAGACTCCGTCTCAAAAAAAAAAAAAAAGAAAGTGTCCCCTAACATGCCGTGTGTGACCCGGCCCTGCCAGTTCAGGATTTCCTCTTGAATCAGGTGTCAGTGGGTGAGGTGCACCCCCTCCATCCCCAAGAAAACATTATCTAACACCTACAATGCACCTGATCATTTCTCCCTATCTGATATCAATTGCAAAATGAAATAACCAAGAAAATAACACATATTTTAGGCAAAGACAGGCTACTTTACCTTGGTAATAGAGAAGGGGTCCTCACTTGCCCAGTCTTTGGAATCCACCTTCTGTTGATCTTCTGGGGAACCTGAAAGGATACAGCATGACTGTCAGTTCATTGGTGGTGACATGAACCAAGGGCTAGAACTTATGGATGTGGTTGGTTAACCAGCATGAATCGAGTTTCTCCTGGGCCATCCTCTTCCATGGACCAGGGAAGGCAGAGAGATGGGCAGAAAGGAAATGAGAAATAGAACCTTCGTCTTTCCAGGTAATAGCAAATGAAAGCAACACGAAATAATCAAACTACAAATGAGCAAATACTAAAATACATGCTAGCATTCAACCACAGAGTCCTGTCACTCCCTCAGCCCATTTTAAAGTCCAGCAGAACTGCCACTGACTCCTTGACATTGACCACCTCCCTTTCAGCCTCCACAGACCCCCATCCGCTGCTGTAACATTTAACATCTGGGGTATAGGGTTCAGCTCCTGTTTATGTGTAAACTTTTATTGAGGAACTAAATTCAATATCAGGTACCAGGGTTAAATTATATGTATTCAATTCTTCGTTATAAATCAATTATCAAAAACTAGAAAATACTGAAATACATGTTAAAATGTCCACTGTAAATTGTACATTTTCCTTCTAGTCTTCCCTTCCTATCCCTTGTGTTTGCAATCATTGCGTGAGGGGGCCTAGTTTCAGCCAGGTCTAGATCACCTAGCAAGGTGAGGTCTAATTTCAGCCCAAGCTACCCACAGTGAGGGAAGGCAGGGTGAGGAGATGACCCCATATGAGCACTGAGGCTCTTTAACCCAGCCGTATAAGACAGTTGCCACAAGGGTAACACCTGAGGCTAATTGTGAAGTGGCATCTTGTGTTCTGTGATTCTTGCACCTTAGCCCCCTGAGTAGCTGGAATTACAGGTGTGCACCACCACACCCAGCTAATTTTGCATTTTTAGTAGAGACAGGATTTCTTTTTTTAGACGGAGTCTTGCTCTGTAGCCCGGGCTGGAGTGCAGTGGCCGGATCTCAGCTCACTGCAAGCTCCGCCTCCCGGGTTTGCGCCATTCTCCTGCCTCAGCCTCCGGAGTAGCTGGGACTACAGGCGCCCGCCACCTCGCCCGGCTAGTTTTTTGTATTTTTAGTAGAGACG